TTAAGGATCCAGGCTTCCATTTTAGGTCTCTGCCTTCTATTCTCCCTTGGAGAAAGCATCCTCACAATGCAGGAGATGTTAGTGGGGAGCTTAGCAACATGGGATCATTTAGAATTCTGGTTTTGCTTTTTTCCAAAAGGCAAGAGCTACTTCATCCACCGCAAAGGCCCTGTGGCATTCTAGTGTTTTCTTACCCACCTACTGAAGAAAGGCCTCACCCTTCTCTCTGCCAGGTATCTAGGAGCCCTCTGGGTGACTTTTTCTTCTGTTTCCTGACCTCTCCCACACACTTTTCATTCATTCATCAAGGGTCTGTGAGGCCAGGCCTGCCCTAGGGTAGGGGTGGGAATTAGGTCAACATTTGCCTTATTTGTTCTCTACTGCCTACTCCCTTCCACCACCAGGCTCTGGCCCTGAACCAAGCACTCTGTGTGTGTTGAATACTGTATTTTTTGGGGTGAGGGGAGTTTACTAAGGATCAGAAAAGTGAAGTTACCTGCCCAAGATCATTGTACTAGTGAAAGGCAGAACCCAGATTGATTGGCCCTTGCCTGTTCTTACACCTTAGAGTTCATGTCCTGCTGTGCGGGGCTCCTTCTCCAGCTGCCCCAGGTCCCACACAGGACATTTGAGAAACTGCACTTCAAGGGCCTTCAGGACAATTGCCGCCATTCAGCACGGCGTTTGTCACCATGCCCATGCTCAGGCGGGGAAACTCAGGTGTGAGGGGAGGTGTTCTGGCTCCTAGATGACCCCTCTTCCTCTGCAGCTACAGCAGGAGTGGTGACGACAGGGTGTGTCTGTGGTGGTGGCAGTTAAGTCTGCTACAGCATGGACAGGCCTCGAAGACTTAAGGTTAAGGAAACACTTCAGTCAGTAAAGGACAACACAGTGTGATTCCACCCCAGGGAGGTGCTTAGGACTCATGGAGACAGAGGGGAGAAAGGTGGCCCTGGCCCTGGGACTGGGGTAGGGGTGGAAGTCGGTGTCTGAAGGGACAACATTTGTTGAGGAATGAAGACTGCTGGTGCCTGTGGAGATGGTGGCACTGCAGTGTGATGTGCTTGATCCCACTGGTCAGGACCCTCAGACGTGGGGAAGATGAGAAAATTGGTGGTAGGCTTATTTTACACAGAATAAGCCAATGGGGAAAAACAGGGCCCTTGGCATGTGAGGGTTTTGTGCTGAGAACAGGGAGCCGCTCTAACTTCCGGAGCTTAGTCATCTCAGTCACTGGGCTCCTGGGCGAGTCTCTGCACCTGGACTCTCTCCACCCTTGCTTGAGGTTCCAACCCCTTCTTTGGGCAGGAAGAGGGAGGGCCACACCTGTCTGGCCCTGCCTAGGCCACAGCACCCTGAAACTACTACTGCACCACACCCCAGGCCTGCACCCATCCCATGCCTCACTCCCACCCTGTCTCCTTTCAGGTACTCTCTAGGAGCACCTCTGCATTTATTGAGTACTAATTGTAGACTTCTATGCTCAAAGAGCATCTGGCCCTGCCCAAGTGAAAAAGAGATGCAGGGTAGATACCATACCAACTCATAATGACCACCTACCCCCTCTGCAATAATTGCTTTAAAGGAATTAAATTCTGTAAACTTCCCAGCAGCCTTGTGAGGAATGGCCTGAAGCTGCCAGTCAGCAAGGAATGTATTCAAGGCCCCACAGGGCCTCCCAGCAGAGCCCTGGCCACTCCAGAGGAGGCCAGCAGGTGGCTCTGACCATATGGTCATCTCTTATTGGCCTTGTCATAGGGTGGGCACTCTTCCCTGACACCCCTGGGGATTAAACCCCTAGATTTGGTGCTTGCGCCACTTTCCTTCCCTCAACAGCCCTTCAGAGAGGGGTAGTGCCTTATCCAGAGTCACACAGCAGAGGTGAGGACGCAATACGGGTACAGCTAGGAGGTGACCCCTCAGCAGGTCAGGCCTAGGCACAAGATGGGCCAGACCTCCTCTGGACTTCTGTCCTGGTCCTTCTTAGCTCTGTGATCAACTGCAGACTCTCCTGAACCTCTGCATCCTTGGTTCTCCTTTGTTCATACTCAGTTTGACTGAGAGTCCCCAGGTAAGCCGTCTTAGCGGAGCCCCATTTCTCTGACCTGCACAATAGAGCTGTGAGCACATCTATTTCGCCCCAGGCAGCAGGGCTGAGGCCGCTCCTTTGCAAGGAGGCTGGACATTCTCCACTAATTGACACACCCCATTCCCCATCAGAAAGCAGGGGAGGGTATTGTTGTAAGGAAGCCATGCCCCACCAGTCAGAAGCTGCTCCCACACCCAAAAGCCTGGCTCTCCATCCTTGCCAATCTCTTCCTAGCCTCCTGGGGCAGGCTGCTGCAGGCCCTCTTACCCTGTGTCTTCACTCCTCCCTTCCTGTACCCAATCTTCACTACCATGGATGGGGCCTTGGGGAGCCAGGAAGGAGGGCCAGTGCGGGTGTCTCAGCTGGAAGTCAACTGTGTGATTCAGCAGGCCCCGCCACCCTGCCGGAGTGCCCCTCTTTCCCAGGAGTGTGGGTGGTGTGTCGAGCCAGCTGGTCATTAGAGGGCTGGGGCCTTCCTGTGGGGCGGGTGCTTGCCTGGCCCAGGAGCACCCTGGGCCTCACTAAGAGGGCTGATCCTGGGCGGCTGCCGACCCAGAGAGGGTGGTAGTGTCTGCTGGCCCTGAGGTGACCTGAGCTCTGGGAACCCGGGGGTTGGGAAAGCTGGACACCTGGGCCTGGTTTCTTTCAGCACGACCTGAGTCTGGAACCCCAGGCAAGAGGAGGGCAGGCTCCATAAAGCAGTGAGGTCCTGAGCTCAGCCATACTGCTATGACCACTGCCACCTCTAGTAAATGCCAAGTCCACCTCCTTTACATGGGGCGCTGTCTGCTTTCCTCTTGGCCTCCCACCCATCCCAGTTGAGCCCAGGACTGGGAGCACTTAGCACTTAGAGAGAGGCCGACTCACAAAGTTGTTACTACTATTGTGAACATTATCAGTAAGAAAAAAAGGGCAGCCAGTCTCCTGCCCTGCCACCCCGTTTCTTTGCCAAGACAGACCCACCTGATCGCAGGTTTTCAGAACTTGGTGTGAAACCTAGACTGTGGACTAGGAAACAGGTTGTAAAGTAAAAACACAATTTTTATTTTTATTTATTTTTTAACTTATTTATTTTTGTGGTACTGGGGTTTGAACTCAGGGCCTACACCTTGAGCCACTCCACCAGCCCTTTTTTGTGAAGGGTTTTTTTCGAGATAGAGTCTTATGAACTATTTACCAGGGCTGGCTTCAAACCCAGAGATCCTCCTGATCTCTGCCTCCTGAGTAGCTAAGATTACAGGCATGAGCCACTGGCTCCCAGCTACAATTATTTTTAAAAAGGCACAGAAAGGTCAGAAGGATTATTACTCAGTGAAAAGGTTGCAGTGGGTAGCCTGGAGCTGGGTTTATAGGAACGTTTCTTTTTTTAATTTCATGCTTTTGTATATTCTTCCAAGTATTCTGTAGTAACATACAGGGAACTAATCTTTTCCCTGTTTTGTTCCAGCCTCCTTGGTAGGGTAGTCGCAGATGTCAAGGACAGACACCCACCATGTCTGGTTGCAGCCTCAGATGTGGCATGGGCTGGATTTCCCGAATGTGGCTTCTTGATCCAGCATTTCCCAAACTTGGCTAATTATTAGAGTTACTGAAGTCACGTATTAAAAACCAGATTCTCAGGCTACTCCTGAGTCCAGATGGGAGAATCTACTGCGGTCATACTTCCCATCCCTTTCAACCACAGCAAGGCCTGCAGGTGACCGGGTCCTGTAGTCTCTTTCTACTGCCCTCCCTCGTGTGCCCCTCCCAGGACCCCACACTTTAGATGTGCTATTTGTAGCCTGCTGCTCTTCCCTGAGTGCTCCTTGGCTGTGCTGGCATTGCTTACACACACTATGTGCACATATGTAGAGGCTTTGTTTTTGCTGTTCGGTGGTTGAGCTCAGGGTTTTGTACTGGCTAGGCAGGTGCTCTACCACTTGAGCCACTCCACCAGCCCTTTTTGCTCTGGTTATTTTTGAGATAGGGTCTCACTTTATGCCCAGCTGGCCTGAACCACGAATCTCCTACTTGTGCTTCCCTAACTAGCTGGGATGGTGACAAGCATGTGCCACCATGCCCAGCCATTAGTTGAGATGGGGATCTTGCAAACTTTTTGCCCAAACTGACCTTAAACCATGATCCTCCCCGTGTAGCTTAGATTGCAGGCATGAGCCACTATACCCCACTCATGTACGGTTTTTGACCTCACTATTTGTTTTACATGTAGAAGGGTTTTTTTGTTTTTGTTTGGTTTTTTTTGCGGTACTGAGGCTTGAACTCAGGGTCTTCACCTTGAGCCACTCCACCAGTCCTATTTTTGTGAAGGGTTTTTCGAGATAGGGTCTCTTGAACTATTTTCCCCGGCTGGCTTTGAACCATGATCCTCTTGATCTCTGCCTCCTGAGTAGCTAAGATTATAGGTGTGAGCCACTGGCGCCTGGCACTGTTTGTTTTACCAAAGGGAGTCCTTGGTAAGCCCCCTCTGCTTTCCTTCCTCATGCTGCAGAAATCCCTTCCAGTCACTGCTGCAGCTTCCCAGCCGCTGGTTCCCAGTCCCTGGGAGTTCTGTTCAGGCCCCTCTGCTCAATCTGATTATTTCATGAGTGGACTCTGGACAAGAATTCCCAAATTCTCTGAATGGAATGGAGGCAGAGAACGATGAGCCTGCATCAGAAATCTGACTGTCTGAGCCCTGCTCTCATTGTACATAGTCTGCAGTCTTAAATGTGAAGTCTGCCCACCTCCCCCGAGCGGTTTCCCAGCCAACTGGTGACCAAATGGCTTCTGTTGGTGACTAGGCCACAACTCCCAGATAGAAGTGAAATGGAATTTTGGAAAACAGTGGACTTTTCATTGTCTTCTTCCCCTAATCCTCAGGCCCAGGAATGCCAGGCCACCCTCTAACCTCCCTTCTATGTGTCCCTTTCAGGTTGAACCATGATTCCAGTGACAGAGCTCCGCTACTTTGCGGACACACAGCCAGCATACCGGATTCTGAAGCCATGGTGGGACGTGTTCACTGACTACATTTCCATTGTCATGCTCATGATTGCTGTCTTTGGGGGAACACTGCAGGTCACCCAGGACAAGATGATCTGCCTGCCTTGTAAATGGGTCACCAAGGACTCCTGCAATGACTCCTTCCGGGGCTGGGCAGCTGCCAGCTTGGAGCCCACCTACCCCAACTCCACAATCCTGCCGACCCCTGACACGGGCCCCACGGGCATCAAGTACGACTTGGACCGCCACCAGTACAACTATGTGGACGCTGTGTGCTATGAGAACCGCCTGCACTGGTTTGCCAAGTACTTTCCCTACCTCGTGCTCCTCCACACCCTCATCTTCCTGGCCTGTAGCAACTTCTGGTTCAAGTTCCCGCGCACCAGCTCAAAGCTGGAGCATTTTGTGTCTATCCTACTCAAGTGCTTCGATTCGCCTTGGACCACAAGGGCCCTATCGGAGACAGTGGTGGAGGAGAGCGACCCCAAGCCGGCCTTCAGCAAGATGAACGGCTCCATGGACAAGAAGTCATCAACAGTGAGTGAGGACGTGGAAGCCACTGTGCCTATGTTGCAGCGGACCAAGTCACGAATCGAGCAGGGCATCGTGGACCGCTCAGAGACAGGTGTGCTGGACAAGAAGGAGGGGAGCAGGCCAAGGCACTATTTGAAAAGGTGAAAAAGTTTCGGACCCACGTGGAGGAAGGGGACATCGTATACCGCCTCTACATGCGGCAGACCATCATCAAGGTGATCAAATTCATCCTCATCATCTGCTACACCGTCTACTATGTACACAACATCAAGTTCGACGTGGACTGCACTGTGGACATCGAGAGCCTGACGGGCTACCGAACTTACCGGTGTGCCCACCCTCTGGCCACGCTCTTCAAGATCCTGGCGTCCTTCTACATCAGCCTGGTCATCTTCTACGGCCTCATCTGCATGTACACACTCTGGTGGATGCTGCGACGCTCCCTCAAGAAGTACTCATTTGAGTCGATCCGTGAGGAGAGCAGCTACAGTGACATCCCTGACGTCAAGAACGACTTCGCCTTCATGCTGCACCTCATTGATCAGTATGACCCGCTGTACTCGAAGCGCTTCGCCGTCTTCCTGTCAGAGGTGAGTGAGAACAAGCTGCGCCAGCTGAACCTCAACAATGAGTGGACGTTGGACAAGCTGCGGCAGCGCCTCACCAAAAACGCGCAGGACAAGCTGGAGCTGCACCTGTTCATGCTCAGTGGCATCCCCGACACCGTATTTGACCTGGTGGAGCTGGAGGTCCTCAAGCTGGAGCTCATCCCTGATGTGACCATCCCGCCCAGCATCGCCCAGCTTACTGGCCTCAAGGAGCTGTGGCTGTACCACACCGCAGCCAAGATCGAGGCTCCTGCCCTGGCCTTTCTGCGTGAAAACCTGCGGGCACTGCACATCAAGTTCACTGATATCAAGGAGATCCCACTGTGGATCTACAGCCTGAAGACACTGGAGGAGCTGCACTTGACAGGCAACCTGAGTGCAGAGAACAACCGCTATATCGTCATCGACGGGCTGCGGGAGCTCAAGCGCCTCAAGGTGCTGCGGCTCAAGAGCAACCTGAGCAAGTTGCCACAAGTGGTCACAGACGTGGGCGTGCACCTGCAGAAGCTGTCCATCAACAACGAGGGCACCAAGCTCATCGTCCTCAACAGCCTCAAGAAAATGGTGAACCTGACAGAGCTGGAGTTGATCCGCTGTGACCTGGAGCGCATCCCCCACTCCATCTTCAGTCTCCACAACCTGCAGGAGATTGACCTCAAGGACAACAACCTCAAGACTATCGAGGAGATCATCAGCTTCCAGCACCTGCACCGCCTCACCTGCCTTAAGCTGTGGTACAACCACATCGCCTACATCCCCATCCAGATTGGCAATCTCACCAACCTCGAGCGCCTCTACCTGAACCGCAACAAGATCGAGAAGATCCCCACCCAGCTCTTCTACTGCCGCAAGCTGCGCTACCTAGACCTCAGTCACAACAACCTGACCTTCCTCCCCGCTGACATTGGCCTCCTGCAGAACCTCCAGAATCTGGCTGTCACGGCCAATCGGGTGAGTGGCCCGGGCAGGGTGCAGTGACCCATGGTGGGTGCTCGGGAGTCCCTTGAAACTTGGTAGCCCACGTGTACCAGCCAGTTCCTTGCCTGGCTAGGAAAGTCCGCACCCAAGGGCACCTTCTCAGGATAGTCAGTGGGTTTGGAGTCCTCACCTTTGGTTCCCAGAACCACCAGGAAGACACTTATTCAAGATTCTGATTCCCAAGCCCTGAATCAAAGTCTCTGGGGTTGGGAACCTGTCTTTGTCACAAAATGCTACCTATTTCTCTCGCCAGGAGACGTGGTATGGCCAGGCAGGGTCTGTCCCCAAGGAGACCTTGAGCCCAGTTCCTCATAGACAGGGATGTGCATGGTCGGGAGGTACAAGACCCATGATCCTCTCTTGGGGCTGAATGGTGGGAAGTAGAACTTAGCCTCGAACTTGTGGTAAGAGGCCAGGCTGGGTTCACCAGGGACAGAAGCTGTGCTGGCTGAGGTAAAGCCAGAAGGTCTTTGCAACTCCTGGCATCTCTCACAGCCCTCTCCCCTCTGCATCATGGTGGTAACAGGCAGAGGTGGACTTAGTGGGGCAGGCTTGTCACCACCTGCCTTTCCAGAGAGGAGATTGTGCAAACCACTGGGGCGGGCAGTGTAGGAGGTAGCACCCTTGAAACTTGGTAGCCCACGTGTACCAGC